GGGAGGGCCAACTTTAGCATTAATTTTTTTTTTTTAAAGATTTTATTTATTTATTTGTGCATACAGAACTGGGGTACAGGCCAGAGGCTCAGGGGCGGTGAGAGGCTTCACCAGAGACAGAATGGGGAACAGAACAGGCAGATGGACGAAGTACACTGCTGAGGGGAGCAGCGGGTGGGTCAGGAGAGGTCTGCCCACCCATGTGGTCACCTCCGGGGCAGGCGGGAATCGAACTCATGCGGAAGCGGCTTTAGATTCTCAGTGCTGTGCTTTAACCCGCTGCGCCACCAGGGAGGGCCTAGCATTAATTTTTAAAGATGCTTATTAACACAAAAATCAGAACTAGTAAGGACACTCACAAATGCTAATAATTAGCACAACCATTATTAGAGAGTAATGATGTCAAGCCTGGTCACCTTGTAATTAAAGGAGCTACCCATGTGCAATGAATTCAAGTGACCTCTTGTCACTTAAAACCTGTCCAATAGCCTCTAACCGCCCCACATCCAATGACCAGTGAATTCCTGGGTCCGGAGCGTGCCTAGAAACGGCAATCCCCCATATCTTTAGTGGTCGCGGTTGATGGCTGAGTGGTTGCTAGAACCTCTTGGTCATTGGCCGTGGTCCTCCCTGTGACCAGCAGCTCTCCCACAGGTCTGGTACATGGATGGCTATTACAAGGGCCGCCGAGTCCTGGAGTTCCGCACTCTGGGAGACTTCATCAAAGGCCAGAACTTCATCCAGCATCTGCTGCCCCAGCCGTGGGCCGGCACAGGCCACGTGGTGTACAATGGCTCCCTGTTCTACAACAAGTACCAGAGCAATGTGGTGGTCAAGTACCACTTCCGCTCACGCTCTGTGCTGGTGCAGAGGAGCCTCCCCGGGGCCGGCTACAACAACACCTTCCCCTATTCCTGGGGCGGCTTCTCCGACATGGACTTCATGGTGGACGAGAGTGGGCTCTGGGCTGTGTACACCACCAACCAGAATGCGGGCAACATTGTGGTCAGCCGGCTGGACCCGCACACGCTCGAGGTCATGCGGTCCTGGGACACCGGCTACCCCAAGCGCAGCGCCGGCGAGGCCTTCATGATCTGTGGCGTGCTTTACGTGACCAACTCCCACCTGGCTGGGGCCAAGGTCTACTTCGCCTACTTCACCAACACGTCCAGCTATGAGTACACGGACGTGCCCTTCCACAACCAGTACTCCCACATCTCCATGCTGGATTACAATCCCCGGGAGCGGGCCCTCTACACCTGGAACAATGGCCACCAGGTGCTCTACAATGTCACCCTCTTCCATGTCATCAGCACTGCCGGGGACCCCTAAAGATGGTCCCAGCTCCGGCTGCCACACAGGGCCACTGGGGCCCCTTTCTGCTCTGCCTGTGTCCCTTCAAGTCTATCTTCTGTCTCTGTGGCTCTCTCCCCCACTCTCCTGTCCTTTTTTTCTCTCCCCGCTTTCAAGAGCTTTCACTCTCTGCTTTCGCATTTCTATTTGTGCGTTTTCTCTGTGTTCTCCTTTATTGATCTGATTTTGATACTCTGCTTCTTTGTCTTTCTGCCTTTCTCTGAATGTCCGTCCCTTTCTTTCTATTGATCACTTCCAGCTCTTTCACTCTTTGTCTCTCTCTCTTCCTTCCCTGACCCCCCTCTTTGCTTCCCACCCACTGTTCTCTCCCTCACACTGCACCCTTCCTGCTCCCCTTCTCCCTAAGGAGTTGAGTGCATGGATCTGTTTCTTTTTCTATTTACACTTTTTCTTTCCGGGTTGCCGGAATAAACGGGACCTTTGACATTTGATGCTTTGGTTGCTCTGTGTGTCCCGAGGGGCAGTAGTGAAGGTTAAGTCGAGCCTGGAGAGCCATTCCAGTTGGGCCTCCTTGTCCTAGGCCACAAGGTCCACAAACAGGGTTTACAATGGGGAGTCCTGGAGGGGTGAGTTTTCTGGCAACACAGATGGGTAGACCCAGTCTTGTTGTTTCCATCAAAAACAGGTCACCTAAAAACAATCTGAGCAAAATAGCTGTTAATTCTATCACAGTGACAAAAACCGGCTTTGAGTGAACATTCCAATTGGTGCTTCACTCATAGATCATTGTGCTTCCCTGGGACGTCTGGCAGCTTTTTAAATGACTTATTTTAAATGTTCTACTGTGAGCATAAGACGCAGTAGGGCATTTTTTTTCATCTTTTTGCTCTGTAGTTTTAAAATTTTAATGGAGTACACCTGCTCAGTTACCTAAGTGCTAGAAATAACCTGGAAGGATACCAGGTGCCTGCAATTGACACCCCACACATCCCCAACTGACATGCCTATGCTGGGAGCCCTTTTTCTCTGGGAGGAGTTAGGGTAGGGTCTCAACAAAGGGATTGGGGTTTCTGGAGGGAAGGACAGGCACAGCCAGAAAGTTTTGGAGGCAGGAAGGGTAAGAGAGGGAGCTGGGTGGTGGAAGCAGGGGAGACCAAATTCTCAGCAGCCTTGCCGGAGACTAAAGGGTGCCGGGTTCACACAAGGGGTAGAATCCTCCCTGGTGTCCTGGGGGATACTGATTGCAAGGAGAGTGAGGGGCTGGTGGTGGGAACAAAGTCAGTTGGTACCCACTGAGTCCAGAGCAGGAACATCATGTAAAGAGCCCACGGGCCCAGCCAGACCCCATCCTGCTGAAGCTAGAGGTAGCAACCCTTCTCCCTGGAAGAACCCCCTCCCTACGCCCCATCATCCCGGTCTCTAATGGCCTCTCGGTTAAATCATCTCTGCTCAGTGGTGGCATCTCCAGGGAATTGGCTACCAGGGCCATAATGCTGCAAAACCAATGAATAATAAATGTGACTGCCTAATGCACTCATTTAAAACCAATTTTTAAAGAAATCATCAAGAAAAGTAATTAATTTCCATTTAAATTAACAAGTTTGATACTGAAAAAGAATCGATTCTCGGAAGAGCACGCTGAACCACTTTCTTTTACCTGCTAAAAAAAAAAAAAAAAGGCCGAGACACTTCGGAGACATTAGCATGGGCGGCCGGGGGGCCGGTCTTTTGTTTCTAACACCCCTTTCTCCTAAAGGAAGGTTCAAAACAGAGCTGTTGGTTCAACAGAACCCAAAACCACAGAGGCTCACGTACTCCTCACACGAGTACGGGGCTGCTGTCCATGGGCGCGGCGCCAGGCATAGCCACCCACCACCCTCACACACATCCGCACACAGCGCTCCTTACACTTCTGTGTGGCTTTTGTTCCAGGTGACATGGGAAGTTCTGCGGCCTACCCTGTGGCAGTACCTGCCTTCCCAGAGTTGAGGTAACCTGTCTAGCCGTGCCCCCTAAACCAGCCCTCTGGTTTGGACTAAGAGGTGCCAGACCAAAGGGAAGGCTGGCTACACTCTCGCCCTCCTGAAGGCCTAGGATTTATCGCCCCAATTCCGGGCAGGAGAGGGTGGGTGGGACTGTGTGGAGCAGGTGAGGGAAGCCACCGCCACTTAATAATGAATCACTTTGACGCAGAGTGGGCTCTTGGGGCATGTTTATCTAACAGTAACATTCTTTCTTATTTGGGTTTTGGCTGCTGCAGAGTTAAGACAAAGGAAGGGGGGGGGGGTCCTCTGAGGCAGGCAGTCAGGCTCAGATGATGGACACCCAGGGCAGACACATACCTAGGGACAGGGCCACACGCAGACACCCACCCGTATGTGCCCAACGTGACAGGCAGGACTGCAAAGACCCTTCTCTGCCATCCTCACACTGGAACATGCACTCCTCCCTCCCCTGGGCAGCATCTCAACACCAGAGCCCCTCCGCCTTGGAGCAGAATCCTACCGCCCTTCTGGCTCCCAAGCATGCACTTCTGACCCTTTCCCAAGGCTTCAGTCACCAGGCTTCAGTCACCAAGGCTTCAGTCATCAGAGGAGTTACAATCGCGCCTCTGATTCCACAGAACTGTTGGTGCAAACAGTGGGGCTGCTGCCTGCCTCATGGCCCCCATGGGCAATGGAAGATTTTGCCTGGAAGTGCAGCCAACCAGCCAGAGCCCGCTGGAGTTGAGAGGAAATTCATTAAATCTTCTTAATGATAAATGTTCTGGCAGGCACAGGCAGAGAGCAGCCACTCCGGACTCTGGCCAGAGGGGAGTCAGTCAGCCCAGGTGATCCTGATCTTATAAGACTCACCCCTGGGGGGTTTCCCTTGAGGGATCACCAGGCAGGGCCTTATTTTGCTGAGGTCTCCAAACTTCAGCAGCCCACCACCATCTGAGCTGGTTTCACTAAGTGGCAAAGGGAAGGCTGGGAAGAGGAGAGATGCAAGTGGGTATAAACTCCATCCTCTTCCTCATTAGCTAACATAGAGACCCCAGCCTAGGTCCATGGCAACTGTGGAGGTGATGGAGAGCAGGTGTGCTCTCCCAAAGAGGGGGAACCCACCACAGGGATCCTCTCGGCTTCAAGACAGCCCCCTATAATCATTTCCATCCCCTCCCCTCCAGGCTGGGCAGGAGCCCTGCTCTCAGAGGACAGGCACCGATCCCGCCCCTTGCTGTTGCCATGGTAACAGCCTCTGCAACGGGCCCTGAATCTGGCAGCAGGAACCAGGCACAACCTGCCAGAAGTGCTAGTGGTGACAGGGAAGTTAGGTAATTTGTTTTACCGGGAAAATGGCCGGTGTGGAGGAGGACTGCAGAGCAGGGTTGAGGGGCTTCAGTCTGGCTCTACCCCACCTTGAATCCATGGGATCGGGCAGGGTCCTTGCATCCTGGAACATTACCGAACCCCAGTTTGAGGAAGGCTGGCTGAGCAGCACTTTACTCCCCTTCCCACAGCGGCAGGCTGCTGTGAATTCCTGCTGGGGTGCTCCCTGCCCCCGACTCGGGGTGAGGTGGGGCCAGGATGAGAAGTTTCTCAAGGAGATGCAGCTGGCTATGTGGACACTAGGGCTGGTCAGAGGTGACTAGTCCCCTCTCCCCTCACTTCAGCAGGGAGCAAATGAGACACAGGACAGCAGACTGGTGGTTCCAGGTTTAATTGAGGGTGCAAGGGTGCACCTGGTATCTATGTGCAGAGGGCCCCTCCGCAGGCAGCCTGGCACCATGCTGAGCATCTGTTTTATTGAATAGAGGAACATGGCAAAACCAGAAACAACTTGAGGCCCTCCAGTTCCTCCCACCACCCCCAACTTCCAGTCCCAGTCCTGGACTTGGGGGGTAAGGTGGAGACAGAGGTGGCCTCTCAGTGGACCAGGCCTTCTCTTTGGGACAGGTCACCCCCACCCCCTGGAGCTGAGAGTCTCATTACCCCCACTGCCCTTCTGAAGTCAATTCCTAAATGGGGAGGACAATCTGCCAGGGGCAGTCCCAGTTAGGGGGTGGACAGGAAGCAGGGACCTCAGAGCCCCCAAGCATTAAGAGCCCCGTTCCCGCCATTTTGGGAACAATAAATACTGTGTGACATAAGCAGGGAGGAGCGCCCACTGGCCCTCCAGTGGGGACCGGTGCTGGTGGGCCCAGCAGCCCTGCCCCACGCAGCACGCAGGTCAGGCCCGGGCCGCCCACCCCTCACTCCGTGCGCAGGATGATGTGGATGCCGGAATCTGTGAACACAGGCCCGCTCATCTCCCCCGTCCGCAGTGCAAAGGAGGCGTCTTCAAATGGCTTCTGCATCTGACCTGGTGAAGCGTGAGGGGCGGTGTGCGCAGGTCAGGGCCAGGCTATAGGCCAGACAGGCAGGGCGTGCACATGGGGGTCCTGCCTGCGCGTCCCATTCACCTTCATCCCACAAAGAGTTTCTAGCCCTGTCACAGTGCTTCGGCAAGTTGGGGACCACAGGGCCATTAGGAGGCCCTGAGATCCTGAGGGCAGATGAGGGATGGCACAGTGGCACTGCCACCGCTGTGCATTTAGAGACACATTTTGGTGAAGAACTTGTCAACCTGGGCCGGGCTCTCAGGCCCTGCCTCCTCATCTGTCCTGTTTGCCTCCTGGGGTGGGCCCCGCCCTAATGCTTTAAATGCATGAGGGGGAGGGGGTGAGGCCATTTGGTCTCCTCTGCTCCTCCCTTCTGGATGCCCCAGCCAGACAGGCCTGCTGACCTGACCCCTCCTTCCACACCTGTGCGGGCAGGGAGCAGGGTTCTGGGGGATGTGTTCTGGACTCAGGGGAATCAACCCATACTCCGCAACAGGAGGAGAGGCAAATGACAGGAACTGCCGCCTTCATGGGCCTGAGATGGGGAAAACTGCAGAGACACACAGCCGACTCCCACACCAGGAGGGCACCCGGCTGGCAGCACTGACATCGCCCGCCCCAGCCTCTGAAGCCAGAGGATGGGACAGTGCTGCCACCTGGTGGACCCTAAGGCTTGTGCAGCAGTGACCGTCCCTCCCAACATCTACCCTGCCGGGGCTTCCCCCTGGTGGGCTGGAGGGTCCCTCCAGGGCTTGGTGGTGCCCTTTCCTCGCGCACCTCTGCTGAAGGCACCCAGGTCTCCCCTGGCCTTGGCTGAGCTGCAGTCGCTGAACTGTGAGGCCAGAGATTCAAAGTCCTCTTCTCCAGACTTGATTTTCTGGATGTAGCCTAAGGACAAGAAACAGAGAGACCTTCACATCATCCACAAAGGCAGACAGGCAGGGGTTGGGGGAGCTGGCCCCAGAGGGAGAGCAGAAAGGAGCTGTGGAAGTCCTGTCCCCCTCCCCCACATAACGCCCAAGCAGATTCCTCCTCCAGCACACTTGGACAGCCACACCTGGCGTCACATGCTTCCTTGAAGAGGGGCCTGCCCACATACACACACCCTGCTGTCTGTCCACAGGTATGGGGCAGCCATGTTGGGCTGGTACCCCACTTGTACACTGGGATCCTTTTGTTGCTCTCCCACCCCAATATACACACACACAGCTCCCATGTGTTTTTGAAAGAAAATCTATCTCCAGTCCCTGTTGGGGAAGAGAGCAGGTGACCAGGCAGACATTGAAGAGGGACCCTGTGTGTTCCTAAGAGTATCCAGGGCAGTGGTTGGGAAGTTTTCTAGAAGCTTTGAGAAGAAAGGTGGGGAGGCGAGGGCACAAGCCAATTCTGCCACAAGAGTTGGCTGAGTCCTCAGCACGTCTCAATTGTTCTATCTGCTGAAAGTGGGTAGAAGTCCTGGGAAGTTCACTGGGGTACGTGCAGACCCCCAGGGGTCCTGGGCAGGGCTCCTCTTTTGGGTGCCCCCACAAGGTTAGTCGGGAGTGCACTGGGATCACCCATTGTGTGACGAGGTAAAGGATGACTGAGGGGTAAAGGATGACTGAGGGAAAGGGCTCCTAGCAGAGGGCACAAGAGGCCTGCGTGCATGCGTGCGTGCATGTGCATGTATACATATGCCGGCCAAGCGGGGCTTCTCGGGTGAGGCCAGGCAGTAGTCCTGAGAGCCAGACCCAGCCTTGCCTCCCCTAAACAGCTTGTCCTGCTCCACCCTGCCCCAGCACATGAACAGGCATCCTTCCCGTGTCTTCCCTGCACACAGCTCTCGAGTGAGCCCCAGGATTTTTGGTCCCAGACTGTGCCTCCCTCTAGCCAGCCGGCTCAGCCTGACAACTGCTCACTTTGGGGGACTGTCCCTGACTGGCCAGGTCACATATTGCCCGCACTTCCAGCTGATTGAGGGGTCATCAGCCCAGGCTGGATGTGGAAGTCCAACCGACTAACCTGCTGTGGAGTTTCTGAATAGCCACTGTGACAACGGCCCATCCTCCCGCCTGCCCGTGCCTGTTTGCCTCTACTTGGTGCACTGAGGCCACCTCCAGCTGGGGCCTCTGCCTGCACTGGGCTGGCACACATCTCACAGGGGCCATCAGGGCACCCTAACCCATCTGCCTCAGACTGCAGTAGAAGTGGCAGGCGGTGACAACATGCCCACCACCCTGTCTCACTGCACACCATGGCAGTGTCCTGGTGTCTGATCTGCCCAACTGCTTCTAAGGCTGTCCTACCCCCAATGCCTCGGGTCCCCATCACCTCTGCCTGCCCTGTGTTCCCATTTACCTCGCTTCTTGTTACTCCTGTTCTGTCCTCACCATCCTTCCATCTCTGAGCCTGAACCCCTAGTCATTTGCCAGCAGGCCACAGTGACATGCAGCAGAATGCCTGGCGCAGGGACCTTGACAAATATCTCACCACCAACTGTGAGCATTTCTCTCAGACCTAAATGACATCTCGCTGGTCTGACTGTCTGGTCAGAGCTCCAGATGGTCAGAGCTCACCCTCTTTGGATGCATATGGTGGTGGTTCCTGATAGGGTGGAATACCTCTAGGGGCTTCTGGGAGGCCCCCTGTGCCAGAAGCATTCATCAGTGACTTCAACCTGAGCCTGGACTCACTAAGTTTCCCTCCTCCTGGCCCAGGACATCTGGTTACTTCCATTCTAAGTCAAGCTGCTCAGCAAGTTGTCCTCCTGTCTTCTATCTGTACCTCAATAGCTGGGGGGCAGCAAGGTGCCCACCCCCTCCCTTCACTCTATCCCCCCCATGGTACCCACTTGCTCCAGGATTCACAGCTGTCCGCACGCAAGCACCTGGGGAACCAGGCCGGGACCCGAGATGTGCACAGGCTCTGCCTCACCACATGTCCCAGCAGCTGGGGCCGTGCGTGCACACTCACGCATGCGCACAAACTGCTCAGTCTGAACAGCAGGTAAGAGCCTGGATTTTGCCCACAGCACACAAACTGTTAACCAAATTGTTCTCAGAAAACTTTTTGGAAGCCTGAAATTATTTTTTAAAAAGATCCTTCCTTCCAGAACACCTCTTTCTAGAGTCTGGTCACAGACCAGGATGCGAAGGAATGTTCAGGTTCCTGTGCAGCCCCTCTGCTGTCTCACGCCCCCTTATGCCATGTCCCTCCCAGTCCTGCTGCTGCCTCATCCCCTGCCTTGAAGCCACTGCTCAGTGTGTCTTCCTGCCAAGACCTTGCCTGCTGTCCTCTGGTCTCACCTGGGGGCCTTTCCTAAGATCCACAAACCCTGCGTCCCCTGTTGTGCCTGTCGCCTGCCTCACACCGGGAGGCTAGGGACTGGGTCGGCCTTACTCATGCCTGTGTCTCAGCACTATGCACAAAGAAGGTATTCAGACATATTTAAGGAATTCATGCATAAATGAGACAGAAACAGGTCACAGGGAAGAAGGGTGAGGGATCCACCACTGGGGCTGCTCAGGCAGAAACCTGAAATCTGCCTTTTTTCTGTGGCGCTCAGAGAGAAATGGTGGAAGATAGGAAACAATGCATCCCAGATACCGCTCCCCCCACTCCCCCGCCCTTTGGGCCTCTCTGGGGAGTGCTGTCTCCATGAAAACCCCCCAACCAAGATGGTATCCATCTACCCTCATCTGACAGGCTCCAGGTGAGAGCTAGGCAGCCTCCAAGAGCCTCCAGTCTGGAGCAGAACCTGCTTTGGGAGTTCAGAAGCTCTGACTCTGGATGTACTTCAGAGGCTCCTTCATTTCTGCTAGCCTATTCCAGGCTGATGGCCCCCAGCCTATCCCTGAGGCTGAGCGGGGGCCTCTGGACACAACAGCTATCTTTGGATCCCAGCCTCTAGTCATGAGTGCTGCAATTCTAACAGGTGACTTTGCCCCTTGGTGCCTTGCTCTCCTGGCCTGTGAAGGGCTGCTCTGAAGAATAAAGGTGACTCTGGAGCAGTGCCTAGTACAGGCAAGTTACCACCTGTCAGTTTGTGTTATAAGGAATGAGTATTTGTGTCCCCAAAGTTCCTATGTTGTAGCCATAATCCCCAATGTGACTGTTTAGAAATAAGGGCTCTCTGGAGTAATTCAGGTTAAACGAGGCCATGAGGGTGAGGCACTGATCTGATAGGATTTGCGGCCTGATGAGGACCCTGGGGCACTCCATCTCTAGCCCCCCCGTGCAGGCACCTAGAAAAGGCTGTGTGAGCATACAGTGAGGAGGCCGCACCTCTAAGCCAGGGATGGAGCCCTTAGCAGAGACTGGTGAGAACCTTGATCTTGGACTTTCGGCCTCCAGAATTATGTCTGCTGTTCAAGTCACCCAGTCTCTGGTATTCTGTGGTACAAGCTGATGCACTGAAATTACTTATGGCATACTAAATGAGGTGATCTCTGTCCCTAAAAAAGGTTAGAGACAAGTTGGGAATGAGGCCTGGTCAGGGAAAAAGGTGAATTATACCAGAAGTTGAGGAGACTGACCGTCTGGGAGGCGAGCCCAGAGAGATCAGAGACCCAATCTCAAGTCACAAGGCCACAAACCTTGGGTGCAACATTGGGCTAAAGATGTTCACTGACCTTGGCCCCCAGACATGGGGTGTGTGTGGGGATCAGTTCCTCACACCTGGGCCTCCCTTGGGTCCTCAGGTCCTGGCTTCTGGTGGGGGAGGGAGGGGCTGCTCCTCTTCCCCATATTCTGGCCTCCTAGGACAAGGACACTGGCAAGGACACGCACTGGTCCTCAGATCCTGACAATCCTGGCCACAGCCCAGCAGCTGCAGAGGAGCTGATGCTGGGAAAAAGGAGCCTCAGCAGAAAAGGTGGATGCTCCAGTTCCTGCCGTAGGAGGCCTGTCCCGCCAGGTTAATGGGAGCGCTGCTCCAATGCATGCTCATAAGACCAAGGGCCAGCTGCTAGCTGCAGCGTGCAGCCCGAGTCCTGACCTGTCACGGAAGCACGACCACCACTGGCAGGACTCCCACTCATGCCAGGTGAGGCTGTGGAGCCCTCCAAATATCACCCTCCCACTGACTCCCAAGGAGCCCTGTGCCAGCACAACAGGGGAGGGCACGATTCAGGTCAAGGGAGGGTGTGCAAGCTGAGCCCACCAGGCCTGCTGCAGCCCCCAGAGAGGGGCTCTTTGCATGGGCTGAGGGGAAGCAGCAGGGACTGCTGGTGTGCAGACACCTTGGACTAACCTTGGCCCCCAATACAGTGCCTGAATTACTGCAAATTAAGGTTTCATCATAAAGGCACTGAACATTGAGCCCACCACTTGGCTAAGCATTCATTTCCTGGCCAGCCCCTAATCTTCATGATTATCCTATGCCCAGAAGAGGGCAGAATCTCTGAGAATGAAGGCACTCACTGGAGGCCATGCATGTGGCCTCAGGAATCATCTCTGCGGGACTCCACGGCACGGTGGGCCTCGTTGGACCTTACCTGACCCTGCCTATCCACTCTATCACCTAGTCCTGATTATGCCCCCTCAACCTTCTGGAGTCTGCTCTCTCAACTCCTACTTGCTCCCAGGTTCAATCACTGCCTCCAGCAGCAATTCCTCCAGTTTCCACCAGGCCTTCCAGTCTGCACTGTTTTAAGGTTAGACCCCAAGGTCCACTGCTTACTCTCCCCCATCCTCATTCACCTCCCCACCCCCGACCCAAGATGACCTCAGCACCCACAGGCCCCCTCTGCAGAGTCAACCCAGCTGCTCATCCTTCTGTCCCAGAGAAGGCAAAGAACCCATCGCCTGGTGCTCCCAGCACGTGCCTACCTGACAGCTCTTGATCCCGGGGCTTCCTAAGCCCTGGCTGCTGTGCAGCTCCCAGGCCCCTTGCAGTTGTCTCTACAATGCCTCCTCTTTAGGCCCCTCAGTTAGAGTCTCCCCAGACTGTACTCCAAGTTCCCTCTACTATTGGTAGCAACCTCTGCTTAGTTTCTAGTGCCTCGTACATCTTGCCCATGCTTCTGGAAACCTCAGAACAGGGACCACTCGAGCAAGGGGGATACAAGACGTCATCTCCTAATTCAACAATGCTCCCAGATAAGTCTGGAATCTGGGCCTTCCGCTTCCCAGGCCCTTATACTCTAGCCAAAAGACTCTGGAACAAGCACCACAGAGACCCCCGTTTGGACACATGTGGTCACATATTCACTGCTGCATCCAGGAAAGACCTCAAAAATTCCTCACTTCACTCGAGGCCCTCCTCCACCTGGCCAGGAAATCAGCGAGGGTCTCACTTCAGTCCTGTCTGTCTGCCTAAATCCTGGCTACAGCAGAGCCCCAGGCCTGACATTTGCTATTTCCTCTGCCAGGAATCCTTCTTGCTTCCTACTGATTCATGAAACAATGCCGTGTGTGTAAACGTAGGCCAGGCTTGGTGTCAGGAGGTGAGAACCCAGTGGGGAGAGAGATCCAGTGGGAGGGTTTAGGTGGGTGTAAGATCCCACAGAGCAAGTAGCGGACCAAGTGATGTGATAGTAAAATAGCAGCCGATACTGACTGATAGCAGTGTTAGTAACAACAATCTTGCTGACCACTAGCAACTGCCTAATATTCACTAGGCCAGGTGTATCATTCATGCTTTCCTACATTAGGCTAGCACCCTTGAAACTACCCTGAGGTGCGTCCTATGAATGTATTACTAATCTTTCAGGTGAAGACTGAGGCTCAGAGATGTTAAGTAACTTGCTTGAGGTCACACAGCCAGAACTTGGCAGAATCAGATAAGAACTAGGCAGAGCACAGTGAGGAACTGGAGGTCTCTGGGAAGTGAGGGCTCTGGCTTCTCTGGTGGGGGAGGCTGAGGTTAGCATGGTCTAAGAGAACTGCCGGAGTGGCTACTGAACCTTTAATGTGTGGTCAGGGTGACTGGGGAATCAAGCTTTAATACTGACTTTAATTTAAGTGGAAATAGACACGTGTAGGTGGTAGTGATCATGCTGGCTGATCCTACACTAGGAATCTATGAAGTATGGACCATGAGCCAAATTCAGCTGTTTTTGTAAAGAGACTTTTATCAGTACATAGCCACTCCTGTTTGTTTACATTGTTTGTGCCTGTTTTCATATTACAAAGCAGAGACTACATGGCCTACAAAGTGATCTGGTTTTTTAAGAAGACTGCGTGCCGCTGCCCTGAATTATGGAAGAAACAGTGGAGCAAGGACCAATCTCCTTTGTTGGGGCAGAATGAACCTGCTAACTCTGTTGGCTCTGTACTTGCTACTTTTCCAACATCCTCCTCGCCCAACCCCTATGTGACCCAAGACTCTGCTTGACAATATTATAAGCAACAATAGCTCCCAATGCCTAAGGGCACACAGTATACCACACTGTCTCTTCTCTAGGGCACTTGAGGTAGGTATAGGATAATGCCCATTCACAAATGACAAGTGGGTCTCAAGGAAGTGAGGCAAGTCTCCCAAGTTCATGGAACTGACATGAGCATAGCTACCACCTGAACCCAGGTCTGCCAGTCCCTAAGGATGGGCCTTCCACCCCTACCCTGGCTCACCTTCAAATGTCAAATGGAAAGAAAATGGGGAGTGGCTTGTGGGGGGTACACTGACTGGGTGGATCTTGCTTTCTCATGTGGTTGCTGGCAGGATTCAGTCGCTAATGGAATGCTGGATTGAGGACTACAGTTCCTTGCTGACTGTTGGATGAAGGCCTTCCCATAAGGTAGTTCAAGTTCACCAATGGTCAAGGTCAGCCAACATTACACGCTCAGAATTCAGTGAGCTGGGATGGACAGTCTGATGTGATTTCTAGAATATCTATTCTGTTCTCTCCACCACCAGAGGGTTCCTCCATCTCCCCTCACCCTTCCTTGCCCCCGCCTCCCGGTCCTGTCTCTAGCCCTGCTCACCATTGATCAGCTCCAGAGCCTCCTCTTTGGTCCGGGTGATCTTCTCCTGCCTCCAGGATGAGGGCCGCCGTGACTGGCTGTGCTTGACCAGCAGGTGTGAACAGCGGACCCTGGAAGGCTCCCCCTGTCCATTTTTGCTGCTGTTGCTGCCACTGCTACTATTGCCACTGGGCCGCTCCCACTGACTGGCATTGGTGATGTGATTGAAGTAGTACACCCGGCCTGAAAGGACAGAAAACAAGAATTCAGCTCAGAGTCTGCCAGGATAGGAGAGCAGACTCTGAGATGCCTTCATTCCGCAAATCCTGTGTCTGCCACCATGTGCCATCAGCCTTCAGCAAGCCACCTTTCTAGGGAGGGCCAGAAAGGCACCAGAGATGAAAAGAAGACAACATGATAATTTCAGTCATGGATAACTTTGAGGAGAAACCAACCCAGGGAGCTGAAGAGGAAGCTGGGGAACAGGGAGTGGCTCACAGCATGCACTGGGCACAGCCAGACTTCCAGTGCAGATATGGCTCTGTGACACTCACTATGAGCTAACTCTCTGGGTCCTTGGTTTTTGCATCTGTAAAACGGAGGCAACTGTACCTGCTTGTAGTATAAGGACTGAATAAGTTCCTATCTGTGAAGTGCTTAGGAGAGTGTACAGCACAGAGTAGGTGTGTAGGAGCTATTATTAGCTCCATTTTATAGGTGACTAAACTGAGGTCTCACTTTCCACATCTTTGTTAACTGTGGTAATGTTTTCTGAGTATTTACTCTGCTCCAGGCATAAGACAGGGAGGCAGGAACTGTACCCAGTGGGTTCAACATGAAAGTTCTGCTCTTAACTCCTACCCTGATGTACCATGATGCAGAACTAGGAGCCAGCAGTTCCCTAGAGAATGAGTAGTATGAAAGTGTGAGAGCTGCAGACAAGAAGCCTGGTGCAGGACCCTGCAGAGATGTGGTGTCATTCTAAGGACTGAGTCTGCCTGGGTTATATGGGTTGCAGAGATGTTCACCCAGGACATGAAAAGGAGTATGGATGGATGGAAGGCTGTCAGGGTAGAAGTGAGAAGAAACAGCAGGTGTGGGGACCCAGAATTGGACAAAACATCAGGTTTAGGCTGTAGGCCCTAGTCACAATCCAGGGCTGTGGCAGGGTGTGAGCTGAGCCCTGATGCTAAAACTTGGGCCATGGGTTCTGTCTCCTCCAACATCAATTTTTTCATCTGCAAAGAATGGGTGAAATTAGAGAATAAGGACATCAAATGGGACTAGGGCAGATAGGCAGTGTATATAAAATGCTCACCAGGATGCCTGCTGTTCCATAATTGGATTTGCAACTGTGCTTACTATGGGCTATGGCAAGAGTGGGGTAACATGCTGGGTCTGCTCCTCAGGAGTATGCAATGACAAGAATAGCGGAATCTGGAGTCAAGAATCAGGTCTTCAACCCTTCAAAGGAATGACCTTGGGCCAGTTCCTTAAGTTTTCTGTTTCCTCATCTGCAAGGTGGGGTGGGATGGTAACTACCTATACCTCCTGAATTGTGACCAGAGAGAATGCACTAGAAACACTTGGCACAATATTTGGTACTAAGATCAACGTGCCCCATTATCTTGGATGACCCATAAATCTGGCCCAAGCACCAGGGACAGTCTCCGGGTAGAGTATCAGCAGCAGATATCTAAGACTTCGCATTAGATGTGGATGGTAGGCGTGTTAGCAGGAAAAGGCTGTGGACCCTAGGCCCGGCAATACTCTGAGGCCACGCCCTAAGCATGGCGTTGGGATGTCCTACACCAAGGGTGCTCCTAGGGCTCAGTGGGGTGCGGAGATGTTTACCCCGGACGTCAGGTAAATTAGGCCAAATGGAGTCTGCCGGGCCAGCAGGAGAATCGCCGGGAGAGTGGCGAGGGATCACGGGCCCCCTTCCCTCCCCGCAGCTCGTAGAGCCTCCCCGACCCCATTCCCTGCCTCAGTTTCCTCTAGTTTCTGGGCTCCTCGGGCGTGCACAGCCCCCAAGGATTGGAACGAGGCCGTTACCCAGGGAAAACGCGGAGAAGCCAAACCCCATAGGAGTCGGGCGATGCCGCCGCGCCGCAGGCACTAGCTCGAGTCCCGCTTCTGTGGGCCCGCGCGGCCCCGCCCCAGCCCCGACCCCCGCGGCACCTGAGCTGCGGCTCATGCGCTTCTCCCAGCCGGGCGGCAGCTTCTCCTCGTCCGCCATCTTCCCTCCTGCCGCAGCGCCCGCTCCGCCTCCGCCGCACCGCCTATGCCGCCCGTGCCCGCCCACTGCAGCCGCCAATTGGCTTAGAGATCCTAGCACAAGGGCCTGGCGACGACACTCATTGGGCAATCAAAATGTCTGGTCTGATTACCTGGCTTCCCGTTGGGCAAAATGGAGAATGGGCGGACCCTCTCACGGTTTACCTGGGCCCCGCCCCCGGGCCGCATCACTTAGGCCCCGCCCTCTTCCTCTCCTCGGTCCCTAAGTGGTAGGGAAGGCATACGAGCCCGCCCTTCTCAACGCCTTTTGGCAAGCTTCAAAGAAGTGCCTACACCACCTTTGGGCTTTCGCGGCAGAGCAGAGAAGATTGGCTACTGCGGCAGCGACTCCAACCTTCTTAAGCCGTTCCTGTAGCCTAAAACCACCCCCGCCACGAGGAAGTGTACGGGTGGTGTGGAACTAGCTAATGGTAGCCGACGACGTAATAGGGAAAGGCGGTGCTGCCTTTGACGTTACCATAGCAATGCAGTTGCCTTGGTGATGAGCTGCTAAGCAGCAGCCTAAATTTGGCTCTCATCTTCCCTCTTCCCACCTGTTTCCTCCAGATGTCCAAAGCTAGCCCACTCCTTTTTATTTATTTCTTTGCAAGGCTAACCTGTCCCTATGTCACGGACCCAAATATTTTCCATTTTATTTGGAACCTAGTTACCTCCCTTATACCGTCTCAGGCTGGCTTTTGCCTCTATCCTGGGTAACTGTTGGCATTACCATTCATGGGGACACTGGAGGGGGCGACAGTGGGAGAACCGTGAGTTCGGTAAGCCTGCTTATAATTAAGTGTGGAGGCCCTGGGACACTGAGGTGGTGCTCAGGACTGGAGATAGATAAGGGAGTAAAGACAGCATAAGGGAAGTGTTCAATTACATGAAGCAGTCACAGTGACATGAAACAGGGGAAACATGTTCACAAAAACTTATAAGGCAGGATGCTCTGAAGAGAGGTCAGGGCAGATGAAATTGGCTTTCCCACTTGTTATGACCTTGACCACATTATTTAACTGCACTTCAGAGTTTCCATCTGCAAAATGAGGATAAGAAATTACATACCATATACTGTTGATGCAAAGAGTAATGAGTTAATTCATATAAAAGTACATAAAACAGTACCTGGTCTGTAGAAAGGTTATGTGCTTGCTGTGTGAAAAAAAAAAAGTAATGGTACAGCATAGCAACTATTTTCTGTAGGAGAGCATGACAAAAATAAAAACTCCAAGTTAACGGAAAAAATTGACATCACTTACAGAAACATCAAAGTATAAAAAAGGCATAAGGCAAGTTGCTGAAAAGTGTGAACTTTACAGTGTGTGAGATTAGGTGTATAAAAACCATAGGTCCATATAACACAGGGAAGTTTTAGATTTATCCAAAATGTGAATGAATACCACTGGTGTAGCTGTTGGAAGAAATGGATTTAAGTTTTTTTTTTTTTTTTTTTAAAGATTTATTTATTTATTTGTGCATACAGAACTGGGGTACAGGCCAGTGGCTCAGGGGCGGTGAGAGGCTTCACCAGAGACAGAGTGGGGAGCAGAACAGGCAGATCTACGAAATACACTGCTGAGGGAAGCAGCGGGTGGGCCAGGAGAGGTCTGGCTCGCCATGTGGTCACCAGGCGGCAGGCGGGAATCGAACTCATGCGGAAGCGGCTTCAGATTCTCAGTGCTGTGCCCCAACCCGCTGCGCCACCAGGGAGGGCCGGATTTAAGTTTTAATATACATTTTGCCTTTTTACAAGCATGAATTAACATTTTTAAAAGGTAATTTTAAACTTAGGACAGAGTTACAAGCTCATCACCCTTATAATAGCATCTTATATAATAAAAGAAGTCCTCAACCAGCAGTGATTTTATTCCCAGGCATCTGGCAATGTCTCAAAACACTTTTGGTTTGTCACAAATGGGGATGGGGAGATTCCACTGGCATTCGCTGGGTAGATGCCAAGGATGCTGCCAAATATCCTACAATGCAGTCTCCACAACAAAGAATTATCCCGTCTCAAACATAAACAGTGCCAAAGCTAAGAAACTGCTATAGAATAATTGCCAAAAATCAACATTGGTACAATACTACCAATAAACAAGACCTAAAAACTTCCTCTAATTTCCCCAAGGTTCTTATGTTCCAGGACACCTGCAGTTATGCACCCTTAGTCTCCTCCAACAGGTTACTATTTCTTTGTTTTTTTTCCTTGATGCGTAGAACTGGCATGTAGGCCAGAACTGTTGGGGGGTGGGGGAGGTTTCACCAGTGATAGAGTGGGGGCCAGAACAGGCATATCTATTGAAATACACTGTTAAGGTGAGAAGCAGGACAGTAGCGATCTGCTGTGCCGTGTCTGTTGCCCCAGGTGCAGCTTGACATTTTTCTGCCCTGACGTTATGAACCAGTAACTTCTCCAAGAAGCCCTTTTCCTTTTATTAGAGAATATGGAGAAACCAAAATCTGTGAGAGAGGGCAGGGATAGTGACTACTTCTAGTCTAAGTGGATGAAGCAGGAAAATACACATACATGGATTATCTATCTACCCTCCTATCTGTATTGCTCTAGTGTCTGTAAATACATAGTAAATAGCCACAAATTCATACAGATGCCTCCAACTCAGGCCCTAGTGTTGACAGCGCTGAGACTTAATCCCTAGGCTATCAAGAAGGCCCGATTTGTGACTATTTCTGGGTTTTACATGACCTTGATACTTTTGAAGAATAGAACATCTTACTCTGTTTTGTCACATTGGGGTTTAATTGATAATTATTCATTATACTGAGATTATGCATCATTGGGAAGGATACCAAAAAGATGATGAGCCCTTTTCAGTGCATCACTGCTGCTTAACAAATTACCCCTAGGCTTACTAGGTTTACTTTTATTATCTCACAATTTCTATAGATCAGGAATCTAGGCACAGTTTAATTGGCATCAGCAGGAACAGCTGTGGTGCTGGCTGAAGTTCTGACTGGGGCAGGATCTACTTCTCACTTGGCTCAGGTGGTTGCTGGAAGGATTCAGTTGCTGACTGGATGATGGGCCTGAGGGCCAAAGACTTGGCTTTTTTTCCCACACAATTCCTTGCTGGTTTGGGGCCCTCCCTGTTAGGAAGCCGACATTCATCAATGAGCAAATGAAAAAGCAAAAAAGCAAGACAGAAGCTATATTCTTTGCAACCCACTCACAGAAGTGACATCCCATCACTTTCACCATATTCTATTTGTTAGAAGATAGGTCTGGTCTATGCCCAAGAAGGAATCACACAAGGGTGACACAGGATTAGGGGCCCTGTTGGAGACCATCTGCTACTTGAGATGCCTTTGAGCCTTTGGTTAAGGCTGTCTACAGAGACAGCCTTTTTTCTTATACTTTTTGGGGAAATACAACTATGCAGATGTCCTTCTTCTGCTTAAACTTGACCCCACTAATCTTAGCATCTATTAGTGCTTTTTGTCTAAAACAGTTATTATCATTGCAACCCAACGTAAGTGATTTACTTCCACTGGTACATTAATCACAACCCTTTCGTAATGGGAGATTTGTCCCTTTGCCCTCATTTATTTACATAGTTATTTACTGATATGTACATGGGCTCAAGGACATTTTATTAATTGGGTTATAGCCCAGTACTACTACTATTGTTATTTTGCTGCTCAATTTATTCTAAATTTAGCCACTGGGTAGTCTTTTGCAGGTTGGGTTCTGTAACCTATCAACATACTCCCATCCATTTTATTTCAGCACTTTCTCTTTTCTGGCACCCACAAGATGCCCCAGGTGCAGCTTGAGTTTTTTCTGCCCTGGCTTTATGAACCAGTAACTTCTCCATGAAGCCCTTCTCCTTTTATTGAATATGGAGAAACCAAATTTGTGAGAGGGCAAGGATAGTGACTACTTCTAGTCTAAGTGGATGAAGCAAGGAAATACACATCTATTATATATCTACCCTCCTATCTGTATTGCTCTAGTGTCTGTAAATACACAGTAAATAGCCACAAATTCATACAGACGTCTCCAGTTCTAATCCAGCTCGTGTTCATTCTGACCTTCACTTCCATGCACCACCTACTTATTTTTTTAATATTTTTTTTATATCATTCTCACCTACCTACTTCTGTGACTTCTTTGTCCAGCAGTGAGAAGGCTGGTTCTCATTACATATATGTACCCATTTGTTCAACTGTGTGTGTGTATAACTAAATCATATCACTATGAAGAATAATATAGCAACATTTCTTTTTGTCTTTAGCCTTATTCACACTTCTCTTCCAAAGTAACTTTCTCTCCCGACCTCCTTCAGTATGATCATGTGACTCACTTGTAATACAGGCAGATTCATTTAACATGTATTCTCTTTTTTCCTACATTCTGGCTGACATGTAGAATCCTTCATTACCACCGGTTTCAGACAAGATTTCATCCCATAAAGATCTTCCACATTGTATTTTTTTTAATGTCAAAAAGCAAAACAAGAGGCTCTCCCTGGTGGCTCAACAGGTTAAAGCACCACATTATGAAGCTCTCAGAAGCCATTGCAGCATGAGTTCAATCCCTGGCCAGCGAGCTGACCCACATGGTGTGGCAGACCTCTTCTGACCCACCCACCGCTCCCCTCAGCAGTGTACTTTGTCAATCTGCTTGTTCTGCTCCCCACTCTCCCTGGTAAAATCCTCTCACTGCCCCTGCACCTCTGGCCTGTACCCCAGTTCTGTAATCATAAATAAATCTTTTTTAAAAAATTTAAAAAAAAAAGGCAAAACAAAAATAAAAGTACCAATTAAAAACAGTATACTTTGTCAATCTGCCTGTTCTGCTCCCCACTGTCTCTGGTGAATCCTCTCACTGCCCCTCTAGCCTGTACCCCACTTCTGTAATCATAAATAATCTTAAAAAAAAGCAAAACAAAAGTACCAATTAAAAATGATAATTTCTATGGGAAAATGCCAAAAACAGCATTAAAAAAGCAAACTGCTGAATGCGTAAACAATGTATAATTATCCTAGTCATAAAAACCACAGGTTGTATTTCAGGGAACTTCTGGGTTCATTCAAATATATTAATGAGGGGTGGCATAAAAAATTCTTGATTTCTAAGAAAAATATCTGACTTTTTAAGTAAGCACATTGCAGTCATTTTTTAAAAATTTAAATTTTTAAAAATTAAGCTTATAAAAATGCACTGGGCAAGGTTTGATCTCAGGACGATAGGTGATGAGAAGTGTTAATATTATAAGTCTTTTTTACTTTGAAATTAACAATAAATCACCTTGTCAGTGTGCTTGAGTAATTGAAAATGTTTTTATATAGGCAGGTAAGGGGAAGCTGAGTAGGAAAAATGGGGGTTCTAGGGAACAGATGTTTCTGACATATTAGGAGGGAAGATGAAGTAGGATAGATGACTGATGGAGACCAAGGTGAGACCATCCTCAATGAAGTACAGGTCGGCAACACCCCAGGCAGCGGGCAGGTCCACCCTCCAAGTCAGGTGATTAGAGGAAGCAGAAAGCTGGGTGGTACTTGAGTGAAAAGGAACAATGGGCTGGGCTTAAACATGCGTATGTGCTAAGAAGAATCAGTTAGGTTAATACAAGAGAGAAGGGCTGGAACAAGGTTCTGGGGGGTTCCAGAATATGGCTCTAGGATCTGTGGCTAGGGAAATAGAGGAGGGTAGCTCTTGTTTTGTCTACTCAAAATTGGCAGAGACTGGAATCAGAAATAACACTCCAGGCATCCATCCTACAGCTTTAATTGCATTAAAGCAACACTGGTGCCCCTTTTGAGAGGAGGAAACTGAGGACCAGGAGGCTGACTTCCCCAAATCTTAGTGCTAATAAGCAAATTTAGTCCTGTCTTCTGCCTAGCAGAAAATTCACTTCTACTTACTGTGTATTAGTGGGCAGAATGGGAGGCACCCCAGGGCCCCCAAATCTGCCTCCTTTAAATGGTTTCTGCCATCTGCTGCATAAAAACAAAACATACTCTAGTGAATAAGAGCTTTAATAAGAACTTTAATTAGTGTGCAGTAGAGAGAGAAAAAAAAAAAGTTTCCCCATGAGACACCCAAACTAACCCATCCCCTTGTGGATAAATACCCAGTTAAAAAATGTTGGCTGCCCAACTTGGATGGAGCTGGAAAAGATCATGCTTAGTGAGATAAGCCAGAAAGAGAAAGAAAAATACCAGATGGTTTCACTCATAGCAGGAGTATA